GTAACTATGCACAGGATGTATCTATAATTATTTGTATGAGGGGAATTTAAATGTTATTCAGAGATTTTTACTAAATCAATAAATGCAGGCATGTGGATTGAAAAAAGTTAATAAATGCTGATAAGAGGATTTTGACTAAATGAATAAATGCTGAGTTTTTTTTTTAAATCAAAAATTTAGAAAATTAAAATTGAGAGATTGGAGCTCCCACAAGACTTGGGGTTTAGAAATCCCATTTTTCTTAATATATTTACAATTATCTATATATGTGAATTGCGATTTTTAATTTTTTTTTTAAATGTCTTCTTTTTTTCCTTTTATATATTATATTAAAGTTTAATATTTTGATAATAATCATATGTGTTGAAATTTTCAAGAAATTTTTTTTATACTTGTTCTTAATACATTAAAGTGTTATTATGAGGGATAATAATCATATGTGTTGGGACTTTTCAAGGAATTCATATGTGTTGGATTTCAAAGAATTTTTTTTATGCTTGTTCTTAATGCATTAAAGTGTTATTATGAGTGTAAGACTTGGGGGTTGGGAGAAGTTAATAAATGCTAAGTTTTTTTTTTTTTCATCAAAAAATCAAGAAATTTAGATTGGGAGATTGGACCTCCCATAAGGCTTGGGATTAAAAACACCCTTTTGCGTAATATATAGTATAGACTAGCCTATCATCCATGCTATGCACGGAATAATTATAAATGCTTATATTTGTTTTAATTTTTTTTTAATATATAAATTATGTTTTTAAAGATTTTTTATAAAAATAATTTAACAATCTTATCACTAACCATAGTGTACAAGAGAAATTAAAAAGGCTACTGCAGTAACTATGCACATGCTGTATCTATAATTATTTGTATGAGGGGATTTTAAATGTTAATCAGGGATTTTGATCAAATTAATAAATGCAGGCATGTAGATTGGAAAAAGTTAATAAATGCTGATTAGGGGATTTTGACTAAATCACTAAATCCTAAGTTTTTTTTTTATTTTTTAAAATAAAAAATTTAGAAAATTAAGATTGAGAGATTGGAGCTCCCACAATGCTTGGGGTTTAGAAACCCCATTTTTCTTAATATATTTACAATTATCTATATATGTGAATTGCGATTTTTAAATATCTTTTTTTTTAAATGTCTTATTTTTTTCCTTTTTTATATTGGAATATTGAAGCTCCCACAGACCTTAGGGGTGAAAAACCTCCTTTTGCTTAACACGGAATAATTATAAATATTTATATTTGTATTAGATTTTTTTTAATATATAAATTATGTTTTTTAAGATTTTTTATAAAAATAATTTAACAATCTTATCACTAAGCATAGTGTATGAGAGAAGTTAAAAAGGGTACTGCAGTAACTATACACGGATTGTATCTATAATTATTTGTATGAGGGGATTTCAAATGCTGATCAGGGGATTGTATCAATAAATGCAGGCATGTGGAAAAATATGTGGATTGAAAAAAGTTATTAAATGTTGATCAGGGGATTTTGACCAAATCAATAAATGTTGAGTTTTTCTTTTTTTTAATAAAAAATATAAAAAATTCAGATTCGGATATTGAAATTCCCACGGGCCTTGGGGGTTAAAAATCCTTTTTTACTTAATATATAGCATAGATATAGATAGATAGATAGATAGATAGATAGATAGATATAGATATAGATATAGATAATATAATATAGATAGATAGATGTGTTGAAATTTTCAAGAAATTTTATTTATGCTAGTTTTTAATGCATTAAAGTTTAATTATGAGGAGGTTTTGACCAAATCTCCCAAAAGACATGGGGATTGGGAGAAATTAATAAATGCTGAGTTTTTTTTTTTAAATCAAAAAATTAGAAAATTAGGATTGAGATATTAGAGCTCTCACAAGCCTTGGGGGTTAAAACCCCATTTTGCTTAATATATAGTATAGATATAGATATAGATATTTATATTTGTTTTAGATATTTTTTAATATACAAATTATTTTTTTTAAATTATTTATAAAAATAATTTAACAATCCCATCATTAACTATAGTGTATGAGAGAAGTTGAAAATGGTACTGCAATAACTATGAGAGAAGTCAAAAAGGCTTTTGAGTTGGGAAAAATTAATAAATGCTGATTTTTTTTTAAATCAAAAAACTAAAAAATTAAAATTGAGATATTAAAGCTCCTACAAAATTTATGAATTAAAAATTTTATTTTTCTTATATAATATATAAATAAATATAATATATAAATAGATTACCGGGCTATTTTCACATCTGAGAGTTTGAATTTTGAATAAAGGTTGGTAGTTCAGCTTCCGAGTAAACGTTGGTAGTTGCTTTTGCATCAATCACACATTTACTAGTGCCAATCAATGTGGAAAGTCATTGATGCATATTGCATTATTGACCTCCTAATGTAACTTCATTTTTTCCGTTTAAAAAATCCGAAATTTTTATTTATTTTAATATTGTACTATTTGAAATTCAGTAATTTTAGGAAGATAAATTAGCCAGTCACTCGTAATACAAGTCTTCCTTATGATTCGCAATACAATTGTGACTAAGGTTTTGTTTGAGATGTTTTAAAAAAGTCAAAAAATCACTATCCTATTTAAGTTACATTATCTTATTTAAGTTACATTACCTCTCTACCACATCACTTCAAATACAACCCATATTTTATAAAAAGTTAAAAAGTACACTTATTTAAAATATCCCAAACAACTCCTAAAATAATTTGATTATACTAATCAGATAATTGAAGTTAGCAAAAAACTTTAAACAAAGAGATTGATTTATCTCCAATCTAGTTATACGGATTTGTGAGACTTGCTACAATCCCTATATGATGATCTAAATAGTTTAATTTATAGAGTCCTATCTATGTATTATTCATTAAAAAATTAAATTGATTCTTATAACTATTTTAATTTATCATGTTATTAGTGTGTTTTAAAAAATAAATTATCTATTTATTTTTAGTAACAAATGCAATAAAAAATAAAAATTATGATTATCAAAAATATATTTAATGAGTTCGAACACAACACTCAAATCTAGGGGAAAAAAACCTTTAATATTATGCAATTTCTTGTATTTTATCCTTCATATATATGTGATAAAGCAGTTATACTTAAAAATAAGAGGATTTTGCTAATCCCTAAGGCACAAGCAAATGATAAAAAATTTGAAGAACATATAACAATTTTTATTAAATTCAATATATTTTTCTTGAAATTGATATATATTTTAATATTTTATATATTTTCAAGACATTTTATACTTGTTAGTATTTGTCAAAATAAAATTAACCTTTCACATTTATATTTTTATTGTGTGTGATATCACTGTTACACAAAAATTTTAATCCTAATCTAGATGTGGAATAGACGAAACGCGACTAAAATTTGTGTGATATCACTGCTATACAAAAATTTTAATCCTAATCTAGATGTAGAATAGAGGAAAGTAAAATTTGATTATTGAAATGACGAATTCAGAAAGAATAATATTAGAGATCTTAATAATTCTATTAAAATTTTGATTAAATATTTCATATGAATGTGAGATCTATATAATATGGGTCTCCTGTAGGGGTGGGCAACGGTTTATCCGAACCGCTCAAACCGCCAAATCTGTCCAACCCGCATATAAGTGGGCGGTTTCGCAAACATAATGCGGGCGGATGCGGTTTGAAATATGACAAATTTGCGGGTTGCGGGCAGGTTGCGGTTTAAACCCGCAAACCGCAAAAACCGTCCGCACTTTAATTATTATTATTATTTTTTTTTTATATACCAACTTTGTAACTTTTACAGGAGCACCATTATATTCTCAGCCTCCACTTTGGAGTGAGATGTCACGTGAGTAGTTGATAAATATATGGAAAATGTCACGTAACTCAAATTTTGTGGCTCAAAAGTGACTCAAATGACTAAAACGACGTCGTTTTGGCCATTTTTATGTTGTTCTGTACTCAAAATGACGTCGTTTTGGCCATTGAGCCACTTTTGAGCCACAAAATTTGAGTTACGTAGCATTGTCATAAATATATATTATATAGCCTCCGTTTGGGAAGTGGGTTGGCTTTTTGGCTTTTTGGCTTTTTTGGCTATTTTAGCCTGGGCTAAAAAGTTTGGTTTGGGAAGGGCTTTTTGGCTTTTTGGCTTTTTTGACTTTTTTTGTGAGAGAAGAATATAATGATTATGGGTTGGATAAGATGTTTTGTTTTTTGTGGCTAAAATAGCCTATTTTGTCTTTTGTGGCTAAAATAGCCAAAAAAGCCCCGTTTAGCTCTTGCCAAACGGAGCCATAATGGTCTCTTTATATATTAACATCTCACCCACTGTCTCTATAGTTTGTTTGTTTATTTGTTTTTGTTTTTGTTTTTTTAATTTTTTGGTTTTTTTTATTATTAAAAGTCAAATTTTAATTTTTAATTTATTTTGAATTATATCATCTTTTTATTTTTTTATACATTTAAAAAAATCAAAAAGATCAAAAAAATCAATTTTTACCCAATCTTCCAAAACAACATATTCAGTGTGTTTGGTTTCAGTCTTCTGAATTAAATTTTTTTAAAATTCAATTTTTTTGTTTTTCGTATTTTTTTGTTTTTACTAAATATTTTTTAAATTTTAAGCAATTTTTTTTTTACTTTTTTAGATATACCTTACTTAGATGCATCAAAATCGTGAAATAGTTGTGAAAAAATATTTAAAAAATTAATAAATACATAAAAATACGAAAAATGTATTGAATTTTTATATTTTTTATATTTTTTGATATTTAGTGTATTTTTTAAATATTTTTTATAAATATTATACTTTTTAAATGTATTTATGTTAAGTATGTTTAAAAATTAAAAAAATTCATTAAAAACATTAAAATAAGAAAAATAAAAAAATAAAATTCTCTTAAATTTAGTTTTTGAAAATTAGAACCAAACAATTTTTAAATTTTTTTTTTTTTATCTCTTCATACCCGTGGCCTTTTATATATATATATATATAGCTCTCCCTCATCTCTATCCTCATTTCAGTACACAGGTATCAGCAAATGGCTCCGGTTCTATCTCTATGCTCTGTTTTGTTCATCTTCTCTCTCTACAGCATCTATGCTTCTGCAGCTCCTCCTCCTCTTCAACCACATCTTGATGGTAAGCACTCTCTCACTCCCTTTCACTTGCTTTATATACATCTCACATTACATCTCTGTTTCTCTTTTTGGAAGAAATTGCTTGAATGTGATGTGGTTTAGTTCTGATTTGGTTTGTAAATCAACAAAGTTCTTTACTTTTTAGAGTAACTCTTAACACTGCATTTCTCTTAACAAAAGTATGTATAAAATAATTTTATCTCACCACTTTACCTAATATGTGTACTCCAACAACAATCGCTACTTCAAATTAGTTTGCCTACCTTTTAAAACTCTCTAAATGTAGTTATCCAAAAGGTGTGAGGCAAAATGTAGATCCATTCTTGGTGAGTTTGGGACTAGCAAAAAAAAAAATACAGAGTTATTATTATTATTAGTTTTTAATTTGTGTAGAAAAATTTTTCTTTTCAAGTCAATCTACTAGATCTAAAAAAATAAAAAATAAAAAAAAATGAAAAAAATCTTCTAAAAGGTTCATTAAAATTAAAAGAGTCTTTAGTTTGTTTTTTGTTTTTTTGTTTTTTCGTCTTAGTAGAATATAAAAAGTAAAATTTTCTAGAAGGCTATCTATAATTTTTATTTTTATTTTTTTATTTTTATTTTTTGAAAATTTATGCTAGACTCTAGTATTTTGTTGCAATTTCTACTTATAAAACATAAATATATTAAATAAGTTTAAAAAAATTGAACATAAAAATTGAAAGATGAGAAATAAGTGCATTTAAGTTTATTTCACAACTTGTCTTTTTATTTTATTTCTTAACTTAGTATTTTGTTGCAATTTTTACTTATAAAACATAAATATATTAAATAAGTTTAAAAAAATTGAACATAAAAATTGAAAGATGAGAAATAAGTGCATTTAAGTTTATTTCACAACTTGTCTTTTTATTTTATTTTATTTTATTTCTTAACTTCTTATTTGGTTTCCTAATATTCACTTTTCTGAAAATTAAATTTTTTTATTTTTTATATATTTTTATTTTTACTCAATTTTTTTAGTATTTTAAATATACCTAACATAAATATACTTAAAAAATATAATATTTATTTAAAAAATTCACTAAATACCAAAAATATATATAAAAAAATGAAAATTCAATACATCTTTCATATTCTTGTATATTTATTAAAATTTTAAAATATTTTTTTACAAATATTTTATTTTTTATATATAATTAAGTAAGGTGCATCAAAAAAAAAGTTTAAAAAGTGCTTAAAATTTTAAAAATATTCACCAAAAACAAAACAATCAATTTATAGAAAATTGTAACCAAATACAGATTTGGAATGATTTTTAAATTTTTTTGTGACAACCATCCTTTTAATCTGATTATTAACTTTTAATTTGGATAGAAAAACACCAAACAAGTCCAAATTTTGACTACATTTTATTAATTAGGTGTGATTAATTATGAACACTCTCTCCACAGGACTTCTTGCAAATGGAGACTTTGAAATACCACCAAAGCCCTCAAACCTCAACAAAACAGTGATCAAAGGAAAACATTCACTACCCAACTGGGAAATCAATGGCTTAGTTGAGTACATGTCAGGTGGGCCTCAGCCAGGTGGCTTCTACTTTGCCATTCCACGTGGCGCCCACGCAGTGAGGCTAGGAAATGAAGCATCAATCTCTCAAAATGTGACTGTCAACACTATTGGTGCAATTTATTCTCTCACCTTTGGAGCCACAAGAACCTGTGCACTTGATGAGGTGTTGAGAGTCTCTGCCTCTGGTCTCTCTGCTGATCTTCCAATTCAGACCTTGTATAGCAGTGATGGTGGTGATACTTATGGGTGGGCTTTCATGGCTAGTTCTAAAGTTGTTAAGGTCACTTTTCATAACCCTGGGATTCAAGAGGACCCTACTTGTGGACCCCTATTGGATGCCATCGCTATCAAAGAGCTTCCGCCTCTCACTTATACTAGAGGTAAGTATGTCCTCTCTTTTTAAATTTTTTTTTTTAGTGTACATGGGGTTTGAGATGTGATTAATTTTGAAAAAATTACTGAATATGTTTTTTAAAAAAATAAATTAAATCAGGGGTAAATTTTATTAACTTCAATAATTATTTTTTTTCTATGAATTTGCAAATATTTTGTGAAGGTACACTGGTTTGCAATTTTCTGATAGTATCACTGTTATACTCATATTATTCCCTTAATGAGAAATTACATACAAAAGAGTTAGGCTAAATTACACTAGTAGCTTCTGTAATTTGCTTATTGTGTCAATTTATTCTTTGTAGTTCCAAATGTATCAATTTCACCCTTTAATGTTTATATTGAGTTGTCTAAATTGATATGTACAAAAAAATTGAAGAGAAATCAAGGGAAAATTGGTGCATTCAAGTGAATAATAAACATTTCAAATTGGATGCTAATTCCTTAGTGGATAGATTATTTTGCCCATCCATTTCAGTCCCATCTATAAATGAACATTATTAATCAGACTAAATTGACATAGTGTGAAAAATTAAATGATAACAAAATTAGAATTATAAGGATCAAACTAACACAATAGATAAACTACAGAGACTATAAGTTTAATTTGTCCTTTATTTCTTCTTTTTTCTGTTTTTTACTTCTCATGGGAATGTCATGTGTATGTATACTCTTGACCCCAAACCCCCAAAATTATAGGTTCACATACTTGGCCATACATTTTCCCTACCAAAAATGTACATGATAATAAACATTTCAAATTGGATGCTAATTCCTTAGTGGATAGATTATTTTGCCCATCCATTTCAGTCCCATCTATAAATGAACATTATTAATCAGACTAAATTGACATAGTGTGAAAAATTAAATGATAACAAAATTAGAATTATAAGGATCAAACTAACACAATAGATAAACTACAGAGACTATAAGTTTAATTTGCCCTTTATTTCTTCTTTTTTCTGTTTTTTACTTCTCATGGGAATGTCATGTGTATGTATAATACTCTTGACCCCAAACCCCCAAAATTATAGGTTCACATACTTGGCTATACATTTTCCCTACCAAAAATGTACATGATTGCACTATTATTATTAGCACCTTCTTTTTTTGTTTTGGAAACTTAATTTTTTTTTTCTTCATGCAGGTAACCTAGTAAAAAACAGTGGATTTGAAATTGGTCCACATGTGTTCAAGAACTTCTCAACAGGAGTCCTCCTCCTCCCCAAAAAACAAGACCTAATTTCACCAGTCCCTGGATGGATCATTGAGTCACTCAAACCAGTCAAATACATAGACTCAAGACACTTCTTTGTCCCCTCCGGACTCGCCGCACTTGAACTAGTTGGAGGGAGAGAAAGTGCCATTGCCCAAGTCATAAGAACAATCCCAAATAAGTTATACAACCTCACTTTCTCCATTGGAGATGCCAAGAATGGTTGCCATGGATCGATGATGATCGAAGCTTTCGCTGCAAAAGAAACCCTAAAAGCCCCCTATGCATCTCATGGAAAGGGTGGGTTCAAGAATGCAAGTTTCAAGTTCCAAGCAATTTCAGCTAGGACAAGGCTCACATTTTACAGTTCATTTTATCACACTAAGGTTCATGACTACGGTCAAATATGTGGCCCAGTCTTGGACAATGTTAGGGTTGTGAGTGTATCCTAGTCATTTTGAGTGAATTTGTTAGCTCATGTTCTAGCACTCAAATGAGTTATGAGTAATTTTGGTTAGAAGCTGAGTGAGTAATGGTCTAGATATAGGGGATTGTATGTAATGAATGGCCTTGTGGGTTAAAAGGGGGTCATGTGTGAGTCATATTGTAGTTGTTTTTTTTTTCTTCAAGTTGGTGAGTTTGAGCATGTCCTATAATATGTAAGGATATGTTTGAACTTTCTCTTTATCAATGACCTTAATAATAAAATACTACTATCAAAAGATATGATTAGAAAATACTATGTGATCTTTACATCATTAAAGAGGTATTTGAATCTATTTTATAGCCTCCGTTTGGGAAATAGGTTGGCTTTTTGATTTTTTGATTTTTTTTGACTATTTTAGTCTGGGCTAAAAAGCTTGATTTGGGAAGGGGTTTTTAGTTTTTGATTTTTTTTACTTTTTTTGTGAGAGAATATTATAATAATTATGGGTTGAATGTGATGTTTTGTTTGTTGTGATTAAAATAGTCTATTTTGTCTTTTGTGACTAAAATAGTCACAAATCTTCTTGCCAAACGGACCATATGCTTGCAAGACTCTTGAATTTTTCTATGGCAGTAGTGTTGGGGCACCATATCCTAATCATAATAACGAGAAAATTCATTCAATGGATCGGTAATAAGGAAAATTGGATGCAAAAAATGAGTAGAAGGTATATATATTAGAGTTAAAATAGCAATACTTAGCATGATTTTAAATAACTAATTTTGTAGGGTGATTTTACATCCATCAAGATTAAGCTATTTAATTCAATTTTCAAATTCATTACTAAATTGTTGTATCTAAATTTGAATTACTATCCTTATTCAAATCACACCAAAAAATATAAATCCAAATTCAAACCACAAAATAAAAAAAAAAAGAAAAAAAAAGAAAAAGAAAGAGAGTCTGATCTTGTAACTAAGACATGATTGCAAGTTTGCAATCTCAAATATGGAGTCAGTCAATAAAATGAAAATGAAAAGCACCCAAACCCAAAACAGAGCAAAGAAATAAAGTCAAATAAACACCTAGGTCAAATAATTTTTCTTCTAATGTCGTTTTAGTAATTGTTACTCTGCCATAACCAATGCATTTGATCTAGTTGCTTATGAGTCACAAGGGGCAGTGCAACAAATCCAAAGAGAAGTGGAAGGGGTGAAAGAATGCCATGAAGTGGAAATTTCTATTACTAAATTGAAAGTGAGGAAGACACAAAATACACAGAATACACTGGTTTGGTTGTGTTTACAGTATCGCACAGAATACACAAATGTGAGATTGACCCGTGTTTGCAATTGTAGTTGCGAAGGCATACATGTCTTATCGGTCTTGTGTTTGGAAATTTTTGTGTTCATAGACTTTTCCTTATAGTATATAGCAGGTGCAATTTTTTTTTTCTTTGTTGGACACGTGCATCTAGACAAGAGTTTTGGGACAGAGAGGGGTACAAGAATATGGAACAAAAGATCCCAAGCTCAAATCTATTGATTCCGAATCTATACCTATTAAAATGGACTCTAAAATCTATAATATTTGATTCTTCTAGTTTTGGGCATACAATTATCAAGTAGCAACTAGGGTAGCCCGAATAGACGAGCAAACATAAATTATTATTCCGGCCAGAAAGATTATGTGACAGTGTGCCTATTTAATAGTGTATTGTCATTCCTTCATTATTTTCTTATTTTTAAGTCTATGTAACTTTTAAATCCCCTACTATTAGTTAGGCACATCGCCAATATAAATTTTTTGAAAACAAGATAATTACTATTGAAATTGTGGGCAAAAAATCCTATCCTTATATAGTCTAAAAAAAATTGTCCCAATCCTATAATTAACTTTATGGATTTGAGATTTCAAAAATACTTAAAACACCTAATTTATCACTCTTAAAAACCACTTCTAAATCTTAATGACATGTCTAACAAGTGTCAAATTTTGATTTGTCAAACATTTATCATGTAGGATCTAATCTCAATACCACATCATTAAAGATAAATTAGGAATTATTGTCAAATTTAGAATTCTAAACCTAAAAGGCACCTCCATAATGGAGGTGTCTTATATTGTCCTAGAAGTCCATCTTAAATATAGTTTAATTATTATGATTTGTTCAAGAAGAAAATAAGCATTTAATACAAAACTATATATATTATGCATGCAATACAAGGCAATCTTAAAACATACAAATCAAGAAACAGTTATTACATTTGTATAATAATTATTTTTAAGTTATAATTACACATTGCCACAATCCACTTATCATTCTTAGCTACTAGTGTAGAGCAACACAACAATCAAATAAAAATACCTAGACAGGAGAGGATGTCGTGGAAAGAGAAGATGGATGCTGCTGCTACTGCATCATTTGCACCCAACCTCATGCAGAGTTGAACTTGTTTCGCACCCAATCAAATGAATTTGCGATTGTCTGTGAGTTTAAATTGTCTTGCATCCAACCTCTTGCAGAGTTGAACTTGTTTAGCACCCAATCAAATGAATTTGCAATTGTTTGTGGGTTGAAATTGTCACCAATTGCAATTTTAATTCTCTCACGAAAATAAAACAAGGCGGTAAATGCAAGAATTATGGGCAAGGATGCATGTAAAACAAAATTTCCAAGCAAATTTGGCAGAAGAATTGAGAACAGAGAGGCACAAGAAAACGTTCCGGAGATGAAAAGAACATAGCTCAAGATTTGAGAACAAGTTTCACCGTCAAATGTCCTTGCAATCATGAGTCCCAGAGTCGGCCAGTAGATGACTGTGGCAATTAAGAAAGCCCACATGTTTGCATGGTGTGTTTCCATTGGGTTCAGTGTCTTGCCAATGTATGTCAAACCAAGGACGGTCAATAGCAATGGAATGAGGTATTGGAAGATGGCATGGGATGGAGGACTGTCACAATAAATTCATGCATCCAAAACAGAAATAAATAAATAAATAAATAACACTGCTTTCAAAAACATTTATCAAAAAATGAGAAGTAGACCCATATGTTGTTGCCACAACAACATCCATGTAAGTAGACTAGTAATTTTGACATAATAGTCTTAGTTTGAATAGCCGCACTCAAAAAACAAATAGATGGATTAAATTTTTGATATCAATATGGTCTCATTTAGAACCTTGTTATAGCCCAGAAGTATTCATAAAAATAAAAAAAGGGAGCAAATTTTGCCAAATTTCCTGTGGTTTTGGCCATTACTCTCTTAATGTTTGGAAATGACCATATAATCTCACATTGTTTGTAAACTGAAGTGCATCCTTAAACATTCCATCCAACTTAATAGTAAGTGTGAAACATATGGCAGATATAAGAGAGTTATATGCTCATTTCTAAATTCAAGGGGGTAAATCGCACATGTAATAAAGCACATGGGTTAAATTATTCTTTGCCTTTTAAACAAATCACGAAAATATCCGTAGTTCACACACTTAAGTTTCTTATATAAAGGAGTATTTTAGTATTTTTCATTAAATTGTTAACAGGCCTAACAGTTCATTTCAATCCACAAACCACGTGGGGGTTATGTGGTCATTTTTAAATGTTAGGGGGTAAACCACACATGGCACAAACCACTAGAGGCTAAAGTGAAGTTTGCCCTAAAAAGAAAAGAAAAGAAAAGAAAAAGCTAAAATTATATAAATAAGAGTAAATTACACTTACATCTCCTGAGATTTTTGACAATTATAAAGACCTCTCATGTGGTTTCAATAATTACATTAACCTTTTTTATTTTTGAAACTATTATCAAGATTTTTCTACTGTTATCCTCTGTTAGACTATTTAACAGAATTTGCTAATATCATACTGATGTCATAGATTACAATATCAAAAATGACAAAATTACCTATTAGTTACATTATCTATTCAAATGAGAAATTTCACACACCTCTCCTCAGATTTTGCATATATATTATCAAAAACTCATACATATTTTAGCATCATTTAGTGAAATTCTTAAATTTCATGCAATATTAAATAAAACCCTTAAATTGCTAAGACATTATAAATTCTTTTAATGGAAACAAAAAACTTAATTTTTACTGATACAATAATTATAAATAAACAATCTCTTTAAAATTAATATTACTATATAACATCCTAATAATTTAATATAAGGCTTCTTTCACATTACATAAATAACGTAAAATTTATTATTTTAAGTAATGTATTTATTATTTGAATTTTTTTTTAAAATTGAAATAAATGAATTTATTTTTTTCCTGGCAATTTGCATTACTTATTTATTCATATATAAAAAAAACTATTATTTTATCTTTTTCTCAATCATATATTATTTTCAAATTTTAATTTTTATCTTTGAGTCATTAAATTTTTAGTTGATGCATATTTAAAAAAATATAGATTAATATATCTGTCATGATTACAAAAATTAAAAAATAAATAAATATAGAAGTAAAAAAATCTAATAGCCTCACAATAAATTAAAGTTACTAGTTGATATGGAATAAAATATCAAGAAATCATTTGAGAATAATAAACAATTCAAACAATTTCTCATTTATTAAACATAAAATTAAAATTAATCTTTACTTGAATGGAGAAATTATTTGAGAATAAAATACTCAATTAATTTGTTATGTATGATACTTAAAATTTATTTCTCTATCTTTATTTATCTCATTTAAACTATTTTTATTTAATTAAATCTTAAAATTAATTTATCATCTTCATTAGTGGTTAATTTTTTTTTTAATTTTTTGTTTATAAAATTTTAAAAACTTGTAGTGAAAAAAAAAAGAGTCAAGAAATTACATTTATATTTTGAAAAAGGTATGAAAAATAAATAATAATTTCATATATATATATATATATATATTTGATTTTGTAGTTCTGTGAAGATTGCATCCACGGGGCACCCCCCAAGGGGAGTCTGGATGGATTGAGACGGAGGAGATGCATCAATCAACTCCTTATCATTGGCATGCATCTATCTCCATAACAAAAATAAAACAACACTGCTCTTTATTAGATTAATAAAAGATTTTTAAATTACGTGAAACATGTCTCTTTAAAATAATGTGAATTGTGAAATTGAATAAAAATAAAATGATAGTGTGTGAGCCGAGTAATTCTCCTAAACAAACGGCAAACAAGACGCCTGGATCCACCTATCATAAAGCCCAAATCTAACCAGGCCCAATGAATTTGATGAGAACTCAATGCCGAATAGCATGATCGCCGACCAATATGAATGCCGATTAAGAGACGCTAGTGTAAACGGCAAA